GAGTTAAATTCAAGGAAACCATGTTGCCTTCTCAAAAGAGCATGGATTCACATGGTAGTGCTCTTCATTCCAGGTGTTCCTCCCTCCTTTCTTCAGGCTGAACTACCCCAAGATCTTGAGACTGCTCCGCACGCCCTTGTCAGTGTTTCATCGACCGAGTGGTCCCGGGATGAGGTTGCCAGCCCAAAGGGTTTCACAGAATCAATATATTAAACCAAAGAACAGCTCAAAATTCATTCATAAAATATGTGTTCCTTACAAAGTTATCCTAAGACAAAATGGATTACTTCTATGGAACCCTCACCTACTTAGAGGAAGTTAGCTCCTAGTGAGCATTACAAAAGGAAAATATCAGGAAAAATAAATGGCAAGCCCTCGAATGGTGTCCCGATCTACTTTCTCATTAAGGTTGATTCTTCCTTTTATAAAGTTCTTCTGTCAGATCCTCATCGTCCCTTTCATCAAGGGCTGTGCCTTCTTCAAATCCTCTCCAATAGCCGGTCTGCTCTCTGCCAGCTCAGCTCTGCATGGCAGTGGTCCCCCTTGCTTTTGGTGCTTTTTCTCGGGTGAGAATTTTAGAATCAGGGAGACACCTCCACCTTCTCTGCTGTGGCTGACGTGGAGGCTCCTGATTGCTGCCTTTTACTGCTTTTGTACTGTAGCAGGCTTTTATGCTCCCTCCTGCGCAATATTCCTCCTTCTTTTCCTTAATATGTGGGCCCTTCTATTAGGTCTCAGGTTTCCTGATCAAAACAAATCAACCCAATAATCATATGTGAAAAAGATAATGTCAATTTTCTCCAGGCCTACTCTAATTCCCATTTCAAGAATTGCTCTGGTCCACTTTTCAAGGCAATTGCTCTTCATAGAAAAAGAAGGTTAAAGAGAGTGATTTGTGACCAAAACAGCGGTTTTGTGGAGTGATATATACTTAATGGACCTCAACTTTTGAGGACCATCAGTATGCAATACCATTCAATAGGAATGTTGAATTATATATAGGAGACATGTATTGAAATTGACCTGTACTGAAACATGAATTACAGAATCGTGCAATTTAGTATAATATTATTAACGAAAAAGTGTTTGTCCTTTTAAATGACACAACTTATGCCATTTCACTCTCACAAAGAGGTGGGACCCATACCTTTATATTTTTTTGTCCACTCTGTCTCCTCCTTTATCTATATCTTTCTCTCACTTAAAATGACACAACTTTACATCCTTTAAAATAATACACAATTTTTCCTATTATGAATTGTATCAAAATTTATAATTTGAAATTCAATTCAAGATTTTGTGATTCCAGATTTAGAAATTGAAAGGACCTTGAAGAATTCAATTCAACATGAATCAAAAGTAATTTAAAATACAAATTAATACCAATTTGGAAAGTCACTTAAGATTAGGGAAATTCAAATTCAAATTATAACAAATATGAATAATCATTGAAATTAGGGAGAAACACTTCTCTTGTTACTGGAGAAGAAGTATTTTTCCTGCTGAGTCATTAATAGCTGCGCTTTTTATTTTTGTCCTCTCTTTTGATGGTCCCACACTTATTGTGTCTGCTGGAAGGGAGATAACTTATCTTATAACATGAAAAGTTATTATCCCTTGAAATTAAAAAGTTAAAAGAAAATACTAAAAACAACTTAGAACATTTAATCTTCAAGATGTTCGGGACTAGAGACGTGTAAGAAAACACTAAAGCATGGACTTTCATTCAGTTTCAAACGTTTAGAAAAACAAAGAACAACTTAGAAAACATGAACATTTAATTAACAAACTCTTTGTAGAAGGAACTCTTTCAAATGCTTTTTTTTATACTTTAAGACTTCTCTTCCTTGTCTATTTATAGATGAACTTTGGGATAATTTTTTCAAGCTTAAATGATTAGGGAATAAATTAGGTATATGACTTTTAACCAAAGTTGCCTTATGCCATGTATACACTTTTAGCTATGTGTACACCTTAAGTCATGTACACTTTGAGCCATGTATAGCCACCTTTGATTAAGGAAAAAAAAAAACCTCCAACCATAATAACTATTTATAAATGAAGCAAATATACATAAAATTAGAAGGTTTTGAGGAGCATATGCAAGACAAAGGATAATGAAATCATAGGGAAGAGATAAGCCACAAGGGGATTGTGAACAGGATAAAAGACATGGCAGAGCACACATTCATGGTCCCTTCCCTGCCCGATTATTTCCAACACATGACCATTCTCATTTTATTTTATTTTTAATATTTTGCTACAATCATATTATGGTTTGTTTATTTATCATTTTCCACAAATTGTATATTAAGTAAAATACAAGTCAGTAATTAAAAATATTAAAAGAATAATAAAAAATACATCAAGATAAAAGTTTAAATGTCATTAGACAAACATAATCCACAAACTCAACTATAAATAATTAAAATAAACTTGAAAATTGTGAATTTATTCATATGGGCACCATCTTTTCTCACCATAGAAACCACCATCCTTTGTTTGGCAAGTTGCTAATAAATCATATGTTTCAACTCCTGAATAACGGGTCCTTGCTCCTGAATAAACAATTGTTGCTGCTTGTTCCGAGTGAACACCAACTTGGGTATAGTAATGGATATTGGGTAAGTGTTTGAGGTATGAGTATCGTCTGGTCTCAATGTGTAAGCTTAGAATAAAGAGTTGGATCCAATGTGATTGAAGTCCCTTGCCTTTGACCTAATCCAGAGTTAAGCATGTTTTGTTTTCACGTCTTGCACAAGGACACCATGTTTACTAGTTACCACCCTCAATAGCAATATTGAGGGTGCTGTTTTGCATGATTAATATACTCTTTTAAAACCTTCAGAAAGTTCTTTCCTGAATCCTGCTCAACTAGGATATAGTCTATTATACATCCCGATTTGTTTCAAGAAAAAAGTAAATTTAGTTAACTAACCATAAAGGTCTCAGTAAAGCAACAATCACTATCTTCACAACAACTCTCACATTCCCAAGATTTCAGCTACGAAACAATCAGCCATCTTTTCAATTTACTAAAGATTGAAGTGCAGTAGTTGTAACCCTATTAATAATTTAATACCATTTGCTTTCTCTATCTTCACCTGTCTTTAGCTCCATTTTTGGTAAGTGTTGTAGAATGAAACATCATTTTACTGTGGATTCTAATATCATTTGTATCTAACTTTTTTTTAGATAAATCATAGCTATTCTTTACGGGAGACAATTCTATTCGAAGCGGATCTAGGATTAAGGTTTTAAACCTCTCACAAAGATGATCTAACATGTTCTCACCCATACCTGCTCAGCTCCTATGAGCTAACTGAGCTACCATTATTTGTAAATAACTCATGCGAGATTATACAACCAAATTGTTAGTTAAGTACCAAAACTTATGCGTGATTATACAACAAATTGGTCGGCCCCTTTAAGCCCGAGCCCATGTTAATAGCTCATATCTAGAACCTTCTAGATGGTATCACATGATGAGCCATAGAGTCTCATCACAGGGAATTTTCCATTTCCCTGCATTGTTGCCTATTGTACATTGACAGTGGCGGCAACACGCCTTGCAACAGGTGGTACAACTCTGTTGCTCCACTCCTCATTCTCTCTCCCACGTCTCTAGAGTCACATATTCTCTCTAAATACCTTTTTTTCTTATTTAAGAGGCATATATATGCTATTCATTAAAGGGGACGAATCAGAGTAGTGGTAAAACTGTTCTTTCATAACTAAAAGATTATGAGTTCGAATCCAGAAACAGTCTCTTTGCAATTATACAAGGGTAAGGCTGCGTACAAAGATTTCCTCCACCCCACACTCGCTAGTCGGGTTTAACTGGGAATGATTTGTTATTTTTTTTATATTTTATTCATTTTTACAAGTAATTACTCTACAGAAATATAAAGCCATTATAGTCAAACACACTCTCCCATTGCATAAAATTTGCCTTGCACCTGAGAAACTCTAACTAAGCCTTGGTCCATACCATTGTTACTAAAAGTACCCCTAAATTGGCATATTTTACCCTCCAATGTATACATCAACGGCTCTACAAAAACAAAACGGCAAAAAAATTTAGTTATTGCAATTTAATAAAATAATTACACATATATGACAGTTTTTAGAATTTTTACAGATCTAATGCACAATGTGACGCCACATTTGGGCGTCACATGTGACGCCCCAATGGGGCGTCTCTCCCCTAGGGTAAGACGCCCAATTGGGGCGTCACATGTGACGCCCAAATGTGGCGTCACATTGTGCAGTTTATTTAATCCCCCCACCCCTCCATTCACTCTTCACACCTCTTCTCTCTCTTCACACCTCTTCTTCTCTTACTCTTCATATTTATTCCCTTTGTATTTGAATCTTATTTCTACTATTTAAGAATGAGCTTACGTCCTGATTCTGTTCGTGTTGTGTTATATTACAATGGTAGGAAGGTAGAAGGTTGACGAGGTGTCATCTTTGAAGGTGAAAAAAGGCCGACACGTATCGAACGCAATGCAACCATTGGCGAACTGCATCAGAAAATTCGACAGAAGCTAAGTCTTCAAAGCAACCAATGTATCACTCAGATCACGACACGATTATGGCAATGTGATAAATACATTGGTTTGCAAGTGGTTGACGATGAAGACATGGAGATGACAATGGAAGAATTTTTCAACCAGTCAAGGACAGATTTTCTGGAGTTGTATGTCGACATTGCCGCAACCGAGAATGTTCCCTTACCGGTGAGGTCAGTTGATTTAAATTCTGCCTGTCTTCCATTTTTGTCTGCCGTTCATGCGTCTCCAGTTGGTAACTATTCTGAGGGAGATGAAAATGATCCGACTTGGGAAATGCACGACGACGATGAAGACGATGATGATGAAAATATCGCAATGGAAGAACGTCTTCTGGCGGAGGATGCTAGTGCTTCCGAAGGAGATGAAGGTGCCGAAATGGGTGCGTCTCAAATCCCAATATTCCATCAACCAGTGGTCGCGCAAATGACGCAGTTGCATGACGTTGCTTCTTCCCCATTAGAGATTCATCATGAAGGTAATTGAAATAATGTGTATATAGTTGAGTACATACCTGATTTAATACCTGAATTAGGAAGTTTGTATTAATAAGTTACAATCCGCAGTTGCAGTTGACGAAGCTGTTATTCCTTTTTGGCAAGGAATTCTGCATTATTCCTACATTGATTGGAGTTATCAAAGCGAACAAGAATCTTGCACTGGCGGTAGGTCTCAGAATCGGGTTCAATACAAGGTCCGTGGCAACTGGGTGACAATTTATTTGTCAATCAAGAATTTGCAACAAAAAAAGATGTCCAAATGGCACTTAAGCACCTCCTCATTAGGGAGCATCAAGAAGCAATTATAATTGAGAGCACGCCTGCAAAGTTATCCATGAAATATTGTGCGTATGATAAGGGTTGCCTGTGGCGCGTTGGGGCCATGAAACCAGTGTTTGGTGAAAATTGGAAGATTACGAGATGGGGTGGAAAACACAATTGTTTGAATGAGCACATTTCGCAGGGACATAGACAACTCGATGTAGACGTTATTGCAGATCTCATCATTGGTATGTATTTATTTACCGTAATGACATGTCAACGTTTACGTACTGCTGTGTAATTAAATTTGTGAGCTATTATCGAGTCTGGGTCCTCTTCAATGTAGGAATGATAAAGGAAGAACCATCTGTGTCAATCTCTTTGGTGCAAGAAAGGATAACCGCTAAATATGGCTTGAAAGTTTCCTACAGAAAGGCGTGGTATGCGAAGCAGAAAGCGATCGCAATTATGTACGGTGATTGGGAGGAATTGTACGCTTTTTTGCCAAGGTGGTGCGAATACATGCTGCGCTTTTCTCCAGGTTCGTTTTATAATATCCAAACAAATTATCTTTATGCAGAGCAGAGCTTAGTTACTGGAAAGAAGGTGTTTCATCACATATTTTGGACGTTTAGACAGTGTTATGAGGCGTTCAAATTTGCCAAACCCATCATTCAAATTGATGGAACACATTTATATGGGAAGTACAAAGGCAAATTGTTGGTGGCCACAGCCCAAGATGGTAATGATGAATGTTTACCGATTGCTTTTGCCATCGTTGAAGGCGAGACCTTGGATGCATGGAACTATTTTCTTGTTAATATTCGTGCTCATGTTACTGACATGTCAAACATATGTTTGATCTCCGATCGGCATCATAGCATAATATCTGCTGTGGAGAATAACCCTAATTGGCAGCCATCAAATACATATCACGTCTTTTGTATTCGTCATATTGCAAGCAACTTCAATCAAAAGTTTCGGAATGAAGGTTTAAAGCGGATGTTATAGAATTTAGGTATACTCATTGACACGATGCATATTTATGTCATTCAATTATCTTTATCAATTTATGTTTAATTCGTGGATGTCCATTATGTACAGGTTATACTCCGGCCATCGTTGATTTTGAAAGGAATCTTGCGAGCTTCCGTGAAAGTAGTCCTCAAATTGCAGAGTGGATTGATGCCATTCCTAAGGAAAAGTGGTCGCGAGCCTACAATATTGAAGGACGGAGGTACGATCATATGACAACAAACTTGGTTGAATCTGTCAATAGGGTTTTGAAGGGGGCCAGAAATATGCCTATAACTGCATTGGTTAAAGCATACATATAGTAGATTGGTTGCATATTTTGTTGAGAGAGGAACAAATGCCGTTGCACAACTTCAATCAGATTATCGTCACTCCAAAAATGTTGTTGAATTGGTCAAGAAGAACCAAGTAGATGCAACTGGCCACCACGTTCGTGCATACAATGTTGAACATACTGTCTTCGAGGTTGACGCAGGTTGGGAGCGTTCATATTCTGTCAACCTCCCACAGAGATTCTGTCAGTGTGGAAAGTTTAAGGCCTTTAAGTATCCGTGTAGTCACACCGTTGCTGCTGCATTAAGTGTTAGGCAGAGTGCATTCACGTACGTTGACGATGTCTTCTTGACAACAAACTTGGTCGAGGCTTATTCTTTTCCGTGAAAGCCAATCGGAAATGAGGAAGCAATACCTGAAATTAGTGGTCCAAAGATTATTCGTGATTCCACTATGTTGCGTTCAAAAGGTCATCCAAAGTCAACTCGCATCCGCAACGAGATGGACAAAGTTGAGACAAGTCAAAGACATATCAGGTGTGGACTTTGCAAGGAACGTGGCCATAATCGTCGGGGATGTCCAAGTCGTGGGAGAAACGACTGAGATACTTAGTAATGTCATTATTTTGCTGATGGTTATTATTTTGCTGTTGGTTATCTTATTGCTTGAATTGTAATGTCCGTTATGTTGGACTTTTTCCTTTCCTTTTATGTATGTTTTTATTATTGTATTATTAATTAACCGTCCTGATTAGTTACTGTAACACAAATGCAATATGGACGACCGACCAAGCATAAATAATAAAGCATAGCGAAAAGTCCAAATAATATAATAATGTACAGTCCACAAAAAAACAATGATCCGACTAAAGTCATAACTAATACAAAATAACAATATAATAACAATCTGATACAGTCCACAAAATAGTGAATATTAAAAATGGCAATGAAACTACGACCACAGTGGCCATGGCCTATATCGTGCATCCATATCTGGTAGTATACGTCTGTCCCAGACTGGGTCTCCCTGATGTACCTGTGCCTGTGCCTGTGGTGGTGGAGTGTGGAAGTCATCCATCGCTGCACGCATGAAATCATCTGCTTGACCGTGCCCACTAATATCTGAAGACTGGCCTGTATAATGTGAATAACCTGCTCCTGCACTACTGCCATGCACTTCAAATGGGGTGTGTCCCTGATTGTGAGAATCTGTGGCTAGCGTCTCCCCACTGTCATGGCTCTCTGTGACAAGGCCTACTGAGCGATACAACTCCATCGGCATCTGTCAGATCGATCGGCATCTGTCAATCCACACAAATTCCTGAAAAGGTGTGACAGAACCGCAGATCCCCAGCTGTATCGGCCAATATCATCAAATCCTCCCCCAAGCAACGGGACTAGCCGACAACCGAAATTGCTGCCTCTAGACTTGTTCGCCAGCAACCAAGAACCAAGCATCCTGGCAATGTGCGCCTTTGTGAAATAGATCTCGGCAGCATGATCCCCTTTATGATCAGTCCACTTGGTATATAACCGATCTAAGTATGAGATACGCACGTCGCTTGAATGATGGAACTCATTTGGCTGTGGAACCGCGCCAAATACAGCCCCACAAACAGCGGGCAAATCCTCAGAGGTGGATCCGATGATGACATCCCCGTCAGTAGGCAACCCCAATATGCCTGCCACATCTTGCAAGGTGATAGTCATTTCACCTTGGGTCATGTGGAAAGTATGTGTCTCTGGTCTCCACCTCTCGACTAGAGCACTAATTAAAGGGGCATCGATCTGTGATAAAATATACAATCAGAGCGTGTTAACGAATAATAACATAAATACAAAACAACGTAAATTGCATACATGAATATGTCGCATCCGGGCAACATATATGAATCCGGCCTGTGCCAGGTAGTCTGCGACAACCTCTGAGATAGCGCCTATAGGTGGCCCCCCAGATGGCTTCCCACGTCTAGTCTTTATTTTCCTTACATGCTCTGTATTCCACACTCGCTGTGAAATATGAGCTTTCTGCGTCCTCTTACGAAGGACCTCCCATCTGTACGGCCCCTGTATGATGTACATGCTGGGATCGGTAGGCTCTACATCCGATGCAGAACCCGATGAAGATGATGACTCAACCATTACCCTCAACTATATAATATAAAACAACATTTACATTAATCACATGTAATGCCCCATTTTATTTACAAATTAATTAAGCAATGACATAATTTATTATAAATTTTTTTAAGCATATGCGTCATTTTCATTACTACAATCAAAATTAATGAAATAATGTTAATACGTAGTACAGTAATTTATTTGTAATTAAATAATAAAAATACATCGGACAAAAGTAATATAATACTTACAGAATACTTAACCCTAGGTCACTAATAACTTCATAAATATGTACTAATCATCACACCTAAATGACTACAAAATTATGAATAAACTCCCACATTAATAACATCATACATACAAAATTTACGAAGTCGCTATCACTATTTACTAAATCACTAATTAATACGTTGAACCCTAATGCATAATTAAATATTAATAATATGAACTACGTAACAAAAAAAGGAAGTATCATTACAACATTCATAGCATTGCACAAAATTTCTAAATGACTATCCTAATGTTCTCAGTCTATATACGATCAATCCTAACATGCATTACTAACTACCACCGTAATTTAAACGTATACAGAGGAAGTATTACGACCTTACCTAAGTCGGCAGAGCTTCGCTAAGAACCGTGATTAGAGAGAGGTTAGAGAGTGGTGAATGAGTGAGGAGTGAAAAGGAAAGTGAGGGTATTTATAGTATTGCACAATGTGACGCTCCATTGGGGCGTCTTCTCCTTCATGAGAGACGCCTCAATGGGGCGTCACATGTGACGCCCAAAAGGGACGTCAATTGTGCAATACATCTGTAAATACTCCTCAAACCGCAATAAATGTGTAATTATTTAATTAAATTGCAATAAATAATTTTTTTTGCAAAAACCAAACACTTCATGAATAAAGTTGGAATTTCTAATGCAACTTATTGCGATAACAATCCCAAATAGCAGAGTCAAAACAACAAACCACATATAATGTAACATCTAAAATGCATTAATAAAATAAAAATAAAAAGGAAAACTAGAAAAGCCATATCCACAATTTTCAAATAATGATTGGCAATGAAGCAATTCTCCATGAAATACTATTAAATGCAATTCACCATCCAGCAAAATGAAAAGGACTCATAAGAGTCAAACCTTGTGAATGAGCAACATACTCAACCAAACTCCAAGACTCCAACTTTCTCCTCCACAACTGAAAGTATGAAACTTTACTCTCAAGAGAATCCATCACACATTCCTCTGTACCGTTAACAAAATAAATAATAAATAATAAATTAAATTTTATTCACGCAAAAAAACTTATAAATTCAATGATCTTGAGTTTCACAGCTTAAAAAAGGAGCGCTTCTACTGTGGTCCGGAGACAGGATGGTCCGTTCCAAAAATAGAAAATAAAATGAGATAGGAGAGAAATATAAGAAAATAAAGAGGTATAAGAGTAATTTTTTATCAAAAAAAAAAAGGAGCACAAATTTTTTTTATACTCTGGAGTATATTAAAAAAATCCCTCAAAAAGTAACAGAACACAGTTATATTGGCCATACAAAATCATTTAAAGAAATCCAACACTAGCACAAAAAAAGCCCCAATCCCTCAAAAAGGTGAAAACTTTTGCAAAGTAACCAAAAAAACAAAAAATCCGAAAAACTGGGCTGTGCTTTCTGGGCTGTGCTTTCTGGGCTGTGCTTGCTGGGCTCTTTGGATTGCAGCCATGTTTATTGACCCAATCTTAACCAATTAAGCAGACTTTTCTTTTTTTATAACTTCATTTTTTTCATTTAAAACAACTTTTTTTCTTGAACATTTTAATCATAATTTTTTTTTAAACTAAGTTTAAGTTAAATCAACTATATATATGTATGTATCCCCAAAAAATATACTATATGTATAACACACATTCTAGTTTTTTTTGTTCAATTATTTCATTTATTTGTGCTATGCTGAGAAAAAAGGAAAGGAGTTTGTACATGAAAACAACGGAAGATGAGTTGAGCAAAATACAAAAGCAAGATGATAGTGATGAGTGATGACATATGATACCCGAGGCTGAAACCGAGACACAGATCCTCTTCGGCTTCTGCTGCCTGAGGCGGTGCGCGACTTTGGTTTTTTTTACACCATTCTATTGCTGGCAAAGTTTTGATTTTTGAGAGGTATCATATCAGATTCACTTCCTTTTCTTCAAATTCAGGCACTTTTTCCAAAAGGGTCTTTGCAGTTTCGGGTTTTTCATGCCTAAATTGTCTGTTTCTTGCTTGCTATCTTGGTTTTTGTTTTACTTCTAGCATTTTCTATGCATTCATGTCCAAAAGTTTTTTTTTTTGTGTGTAGTTTTTTGGGCTGGTTTTGATTTTGTTATCTTAGTAGTATATTTTGACAATGATTTCTTATTATATTTTTCTCTCATTGAATTAGGCTTGAATTTTCTGAAATAAAACATTCAAGAGATTTAAAAGAAGAAGAAGAAGGGAGTGAAAGTGAAACTATGAACCTTGATTGGGAACAAGAACTGAGGAAGTATCACAATGTTATAGCCTCAGGGACAAAGTCTATGCAAATAAAAGCCATGGTTATGTTGGCCCGTTTCTCTAAACATGCCCCTGAGCGTGTATTAGCTCAGACCATACCCCTTCTCACTGAGATTCTTGGTCATGATATCTCAAATGATTCTGCTCCTTCACTTCAAGAGGCTGCTGCTTATTGCTTGAAGTGTATTGCTTGCAGAGGTGATGGTGGGTTGGCAATTGAAATAGGTGGACATGGTGCTACACATTCTTTGATAAGGTTGTTGCCTCATTCTGATGGGAAGATGCAGAAAGTCCTGATAAAATGTTTGCTTCTTGTTGTCACTTTTTGTAATTCAAGTAGGACAGTTGTTGCTACCAATGGTGGGTTAGAAATCATCATCAGTTTGTTGAATTCTTGCTCCAATGATGTTAGGCGGTATTTGTTAGAGATTTTGAGTTTGTTGGCATTGAGGAGGGATGTTAGGAAGGCACTCACTAGACTAGGAGCTCTTCATTTTCTTGTGGAGGCTGCTGGTTGTGGCAGCATGGTTTCTAGGGAAAGAGCTTGTCAATCTATTGGGTTGCTTGGAGTCACAAGACAGGCTAGGCGTACCCTTGTTGATTTGGGAGTGATACCGGTGCTTGTGGAGCTGTTTCGCGATGGAGATCAAGCCACGAAAATTGTAGCTGGTAACTCTCTTGGTGTGATATCTGCTCATGTTGATTACATTAGACCAGTTGCTCAAGCTGGGGCTATCCCCCTTTATGCTGAGCTCCTTCAAGGACCTGATCATGCTGGTAAGGAGATAGCTGAGGATGTGTTTTGTATATTGGCTGTTGCGGAGGCTAATGCTGTTGAAATTGCCGGGCACCTGGTGAGAGTTCTTAGACAAGGTGATGATGATGCAAAGGCAGCCGCGGCTGATGTGATATGGGATCTGTCAGGTTATAAGCACTCAACATCTGTGGTCCGTGATTCGGGTGCAATCCCTATCCTTGTTGAGCTTTTGGGGAGTGGAAGTGAAGAGGTAAAGGAGAATGTTTCTGGGGCATTTGCTCAGCTAAGCTATGATGGAGGTGATAGAATAGCACTTGCCAATGCAGGGGCAATTCCAATTCTCATTGACTTGCTGCATGATGAGATTGAGGAACTAAGGGATAATGCTGCTGAGGCTCTTGTCAATTTTTATGAAGATCCATTATACCATGATAGAGTATCTGATGCAATTAATGTTCCTTCATTCAGAAATATGCAGAATAGACTAATTCATATTCGCGCATCAAACGAGCATATGGCTAGATCCTTACGAAGAATGAGTGTTGAGCAGCTCACTTGGAACCCAGATCTTGTATAATCATTTTAAGGGTATGTTTTGATCTCAACGCTTTTGCTATAGAGGTTTCAACTTCTTTAAGTTGTATCAATGTTACACCCTAGCATAGATATATGTTGTCATGAGTATTGGGAAGAGGAGAGAACTTTCCATGTAGAGACAATCTTGATATCTTTGCTGTATATTTCAAGAAGTTCACATACAAAGGTATTAACGATCGAGTAGATAGTCATCATGTGTAGGAAAATGCTTGAATTTGTGTAACTTAGCTGCCAAATGTCATGCATTATTGTCGTTATTGATGATGAATCAAAACGGGCATTCCTTTTATTAGTCTCTCCGTTTCATAGAGCTCCAAGGACACTTGCATATCGGCTCTCTAACATAAATCATTTTGTAAAATATAAGTTATTCATTTTAAATTTTCACCAGCTTCTTCAGTGAGTCTACATCCGTAAGAAACTATTACCTCATTGTTTTTGTTCAGATAATGATTCCTCTGTGTAGAGGATAGGCCCTTTGTTTTTTTGGAAATATTCCACTCGGTTCATAGCTTCGTGATTAATCCAATTCAGGATGGGTTCGGGGATTAAGACTTTAAATCTCTTCCAAAGACGATATTAGAGATGATCGAACACATACTCTCATCTCCATTTGTTTAATTTTTTGGCGCCAACTGAACTATCATCATTTGCTGAGTATAGGCCCTTTAGGTGTAGCAATGTTGGCATAAAAAGCCATGACAAACATTATCAGACTCGAAACCTTTCTTGAACTATATTTTTGGCAGGGAGCTTCTGGCCTTAATACAAGATTATAGTATATTTAGAAGATCGTGCATTTTGAAGTTAAAGAGTGTTGAAAATTTATGACATTGCAAAAACCCTTGTTAAATTTCTAAGGTTATTTTGATATGTTTCTGTTTCAACTTTCAAGACTAAAAAAGAATGAATAGTGACTGATTAAGTACCACAAGCCATTCTCATTTGTTAATTTTTTTTTTTCCTTAGATAGCCCATCAACAACACGAGACTTTGTTTGGTCATCAACTTAACCACGGTTTTATCTGTCTCTCTCCTCAAATTCTCCCTCTCTTCTACATCCCCTGACCAGTAGAGTCCGGTTCTAACAAGATCGTTAAAAGTAGGGGTGTTTATCAACCGATCCAAATCGATTCAAACTGCGGTGACTAGATCGAAAAAACTGAAAACTGAATTAATCGAAAATCGAAAATCGAAAAAGAATCACAAAATTTAATTGGATTGGATCGAATTTTGGATTGGTTGGTAAAAATTGATCCAATCCAAACCGATCAAATAATTCTCCAACTTTATCATTTATCTATTTGGATCTTTCCCCAATCATAACCCAAAAATCAGCAAAATTTTGAATCCAAGACCCATTAACCCATTATGTTGGAGAAGTGGGTTTTTGCTTGATCTATGTTATGCTTTTTTTTTTTTTTTCTGGTAAGATACATTATATATTTTTATTACATGGTTATTGTTGTACAACAACTCCTTTATAGGATGAAAATTTGGGTTACTTCGTAACTCAGGCAAGCATATTATGAATTTTTTGTTGGAGGTAAAATATGGTAATTCAACTTTTTGTTGTACAATGCTTCTAGATTGCACAATAATTAACATACAAACTTTACAAAGCCGATACATACAAAAGATGCATTATTTGTACAATAACCATCATACAAATCTTAGGCTTTTCAAAAAACCGAAAACCGATCCAATCCAAACCGAATAAAATTAGATTAGATCGTATAGGATTTGAAAAAAAATTCAAACTGAATGGATGATTACATGATTAAACCGAAGGGATTGGATCAGGTGATTTTTGCTTCCAAAATCGATCCAATCCAGACCACAAACACCTCTAGTTAAAAGCAGTATTTGATTGCTTCTCTCTCTCTTCCAATTTCCCTTCTCCCTATGTAGAATCTTTTATGTGATCTATTTATCTCATGTTGCATGAGATAATTATCTTTTTTTTTTGGAGGTTACATAAGATAATTATCTCATGCAACAGAGATAATATAGTGGGGTCCATAATTTTAAAAAAAAAAGAAAAAAATAGTGGACCCCACTACTTGGTCTCTGTTGCATGAGATAATTATCACATGCAACATAAGATAATTATTTCCCATCTTTTATATATACGAATTTGTTATCGTTGGATCAAAATCAAATTAACGGATTTCACTTAATATTACTTTGTAACATTTGATTTAATTTTGATCCAATAATAATAAAGTTGGTAGTAAGAAGTAATAAGAAAAAATAATAGTAAGTATAACCTATTCCATACATATAATCGATTCCATACATATAATCTATTCCATATATATATATATATATATATAGGGAGAGGTTATAGTTACCACCTTTTTTTTTACAATCTCTTACAACCATATATCATAACCGTTGATTTTCGCCAATTAACGGTTATGATTTTCGCAAATTAAACTCATTAATTAATTATTAATTCATAAGAAATGATAACCGTTGATTGGCGAGAATCGACGGATATGATATATGGTTGTAAAAAAAAAATTGTAACTATAACCTTCCTCATATATATATATATATATATATATATATATATATATATATATATATATATATATATATATATATATATTTAAGATTATAAAACATATGTACATATTAATTTACAAGAATTTAAATTGGAAATTAAGAAAGGTGAGAATGGCAAGAGTTATTTTTTAGAGAATACTGCATTAAAATTTATTTCTAATTTAATACATAAATATGTAGAAAAAGTAATCAATTTGATAATATAATCATTTAAGATTTGAAGGAAAAAATTTTAACATAAAAAGAAAATGTGAAATTAAATAATTTAAAAATATTAACAAATGAGATTTGAAAAATAAAATAAAATTCTAACATAAATAAAAATTTGAAATAATCAAATAGACCAGATACATCTATTGAGTGAGAGAAAGGTGCGAGTTTTCAAAAACATGATTTTTTTTAAGGGGAATATTATATTTACAAATTTTTTGTTTACAAACTCTTACAAACTACACTAAGTATGACCGGTCATACTTCAATCAAGAGAGTATAAACGGTCATACTTAGCGTAATTTGTAAAAAAAGTTTGTAAACAGATCCTTTCCTTTTTTTTAAAGGGAAAAGTGTTTGTCATTTTAAATGACATAAAACTCTGTACTTTTAAGAGAGAGACAGACACATAAATTTTTTTTTATTTAAATTTTAAATTAAAAAAAATCACTCACTTTCTCTCTCCCATGATTTCTATTTTTCTGTGTCTATCTCTCTCTTAAAATGACATAACTTATGTCATTTAAAATGACAAACACCAAACCCTTTTTTAAATGGAAAAAAAAATCTAATGTTACTTTAGATAACTTTATCTAATGTTCATCAAAACGACGTCGTTTTGAGGTTGAAAAATTAAAAAATTAGAATGATAAAGACTATTATAACCCTAAAATAAATTAAAATTACAAAAACACCATGATTTTCGCCCCAAAACGACGTCGTTTTGATGAACATTAGATAAAGTTATCTAAAGTAACTTTAGAAAACACAAACCCTTTTTAAATAGTAAAACTAAAGAGAAAAAGTACATAATAAAAAATATTTCACCCTAAAAAAGAAAACTCTATTTTATTATGACTCAGAAAAATGGTAAATATATGCACATAGTGAACAAAGATTTAAATGCTGAACCAATAATATATAGTAAACTAATAATTAAAAAAGGAAGCTAAATAATTATAAAATCAAGGGAAAACTTCATTTTCACCAATTGTGGTTTTGTGATTTATCATTTGACCCCAACGTGATTTTAAACTTATCACTTAGATTCATTGTGCTTAAATAATTTATCACTTAACCCCTCGTGGTTTTATACTTTCACTTAGACACCTCGTGGTTAGAATTTTTTTTCACTTAAACCCCTTTTTTTCAAAAATAAAGTTTTAAAAAATAAATATATAAAATAAATGTTCCTTCTTTTTTATTTTATATCCTCGCCTAATGCAGTTAGGGCTTAAAAAATAAAATTTTTTAAAAAATTCACTTATTTTTATCAAGAAAATAAATTCAAATCAAATATTATTTTATTTTATCTATTTTTTGCCCGATATCATTATAAAATTATCTAAAGAAAGTAAATATCTTATTTTGATAATACATATTTAACTTATCTAAAATAATATTTTTTTAGCTTCAAATATAATTTTAAAATAAATAAAAATTATAATATATAAATGAATTTCAATAAATAACTTGAAATATTTTTTATACCCTAACATTACATGAGGATATAAAATAAAAAAGAGAGGAAATTTATTTTAAATCTTTATTTATTAAAATATATATTTTTTAAATCACAAAGTGTCTAAGAGAAAAATTTTGTGACACACGGAGTGTAAGAGAAAATTTGAAACCATAAGGGATTAAATGACAAAATATTTCAGCACAGTGAATCTAAGTGATAAATTTAAAACTACATGGGGTCAAATAATGAATCACAAAATTACAGTATGTGAAAATGAAGCTTTTCCTAAAATCAATCATAATTGATAATGAAAACTAATTCTAATTGATTCCCATAAATTATGAACATGATAATAACGAAAATATTTCTAATCTTCTACCGCTCAACATAATTTGATTGATATCGCTCTCAATCATATCATTGATTTTTCTATTTCAGGAATGAATGAATACTTGATTGGTCAATCATAGACACCAAAAAATTATAAGAGACGGATTTTTTACATCTCTAACAACATACTTAATAAAAACTAACTTGGCATAAGTTTTAACATACATTTTAAAGTTGAATGTTTATTAAGGCCCGGTGTTAGAGTTAAATTGATTTGAATGTTTTTGAAAGGAGTCTGTTGATTTTTAACATTAAAATAGCATCCACATCGATAACTTTGCAAATATCTACTTCAGATAAGTATTTATAAATTATTTGTGACATAGAATGAGTCGGATATAAGTGTATGTCAAGACTAAAATAAAGTGTAATCATGTACCCAAAAAAAAAAGTTTAATCACTAAAATCTCTGCCTAAGACCAATAAGGTAGGACACTAAGAAATCGTTTGGATGAGTTTTTTAAAAACTAACTTTTTAAGCATTGCTTTTTTTAAAAAGAATCTTTCTTAAAAGATAAAGTTATTTTAAGTTCGG